CTTAAAGGTATAATTACCAGTATGTATTTTTTGTTGTAAATCTTTAACTTAGACATAAATGTTTTTGTTTTAATGAATGAGCACAGATGAATTTTCTTTCTTAAATGTTTTAAGCTAAACTTAAAATTATTGCAGTCTAAATACTAATGTGACCAGAGATTCAAGATGCTTTATATTGTCAGATTTGTATATACTGCTTTTGTACTATATTTTTAGCATTAGACTTATATCAACCACTCTGATTTGTTACCAAAAAATTAAGAGTGATTAAATTTTCTTTTATTTCTACAAGGCATAGATATAATTTTAGACACTAACCATCCATTACATAGAAAGCAATGATGATGTAATTTTAGGTAGTGAATTTTGTAATGAATTTAGGCGAGTCATAATGTGGAAATACAAATGCAATAGGTGAAAATAACCATCTTAACAAAGAATGGATTTTCTTGAAATGTTTCCAAGATATTTATTAAAGTTGCACTGTTTACCAGGGAAAAATTCCACTATTGAAAGTTATTTTAATAATGATGTTTCAAGTTGTGAGAAAACTAAGTTGACTAAAACATTATTAATTGTAATGACAGTTAAAATAAATCTTAATTACATGAGTGAAGAATTTTGAAATGTATTAAGTCAAAATGACAAACTTAAAAAGAGAATTTATTCAAATGAAAATATTTATCAAATAAAGATATAATCAGTTAAATCAGTTAGTTTATCATACTGCTTTTACATTTTGAAAATCTGGTTACTTCATAAATATGTGCATGAACAAAAGGCTACCCTATCCCCTTATGAAAAAACCTCTTAATTAACTTTTCATGGTGGTACAAGAACACAATTTAAAAATTCAATAGAAGAGCAGCATAAAACCATTAAATTTATTGGTGGTTGAATTTAATGGTAAAGCCATTTTACAGTAATGCTTCCATAATCTCAGCCAGTGCCTACTCCAGCTTGACAGTATACATGTATATTAGCCATGCTCCAGCTTTAATAGCACACTGTGCAAGGATTTTGGTGCATTCCTTGAATTTGCCAATTAGTGTGTAAATTTTAATACATGAAAATTATACATATTTTTGCCATTAAAAACTGTTGTACAAAAAGGAATAACGATTGTAGTCTAAATATATTAATTTATAGAATGTTTTGCCCCCTGTACACTGTATGACTCTATTGCAGCTATGAAAAAAGCTAAAAAGAAAATGTTTTTCCAACATAAGTTGGCAGTTGTCAAAATAGACTAAACTACAGTAGAGCGTCGTTTATCCGAATCAATTGGGGACGGGTTGTTCGGATAACTTATTTTTCGGATAACCGATTATATAAGAAAAAATATAACCTATCCCGTGTTGAAATTTTTCTCCGTTGCGTGTCGCTTTGCGTTGAATTTTCGTCGATGTTAAGCGTAACGAAAACTTTTTAAAATAATAATCGTGGCTATTGTATCGTTAAAATTTTTTTTTATTTTGTACAAACAAAATAAATATATTGAAAAATAAAAACCAAATAAATATAATTTAGAAGTTGATCTAGTATCAAAAACGTTTGATTCAGCATGAGCCACAGACCACAGAAAAACACCACACAAAAGTGCCAGTGCTGCCAGCTAAAACACGCACCCCAACCAAAAAAATATTGGAGTAGCCAAATATTGCAGCGCCACAGCACTAGCGAAAATTTAAATTTGACGACTGAAATTCTTTCGGATAACCGACGCTCTACTGTACTTTGAAACCATTCATAGGGGCAGCGGCGGCCTTATCCATTGCGAGGCTCTGGGCGGGAGATCTTTGTGAGGCCCTTGTCTTTTGTGCAAAGTATGTGAATTGAAATAATAGGCTCTTATTAATATTAATATATACTGTACTATGAATTAAATTTATTTTATTGTTATAACTAATAGTCAAGGATAAAATAAAAAGTTTTAAATATCAACTTTTTTTACTTGGTTGTTGCGCGAGGCCCCGGGCGATTGCCCTGCTCGCCACCTCCTAAGGCCGCCACTGCATAGGGGAGAAAAAGATACACAATGCCCAGGACTCCAAAAAACAGTTAGCAATTACAACTAATAAAGCTCTCTCTCCCTACAACTGGTACAAAAGTGGTTTAGTCTGATTTGTAGAAGGGATAGTTCTGAGTCAGTACTATTAGGAACCAAATGTTGAGACAGTTTTGGTCAGAACTATTGCACTAATGCATTCTTCATTTTGTACTTTTATGAATAAGGCTTCTCATGGAACAGTGAACACTCTATAACGAAAATCTTTCATGAGTTTTTAGAATAATCAAATTAGAGTATTTTAAATTTTTATTAGAGTTTGTAAATTTGTTTGTTTTATTAATAACTAGCAGATACACCCGGCATTGCCTGGCCAAAAAGTAAGAAGGATAAACATTAAAATGAAAATCATATTAAAGATTTGGTTATTTTAGCCTACTGTTGTTGTTTATCAGGAAATGTCAAGGAGATCAAATGAGAAAGAGTGGGATGTCCAGATTTCATGGAACTTATATTTTCCTCAGAGTCCCAGAGAATAATTATGAAAAATATGGTGTAGATCAGGCAAATTGTTTACGGGTAAATAAGGGAGAATGAAATTGGGATGTCCAGGTTTCGTATTAGTCTAAATTTTCCTCAGGCTTCGAGTTAAGCAAGAATATTTTGAAGTTTATCGGCCAAAAAGCTAAGAACAGAGAATGACAAACTGACGTCCACAGAGGGAGGCAAATGGGGCACTTGCCCATTTCTTGGATTGAATAAAAAATTTCACAAATTATAATTGTAAAAATGATTGAGATATGTAACCTTATACCCCGTTCGCACCGAGCATTTCGATCTAGATTGTGGCTAAGGTCGGAGAGAGTTCCGTGGTGCGAACGCTCTCGACCGTTTCAATCTCGACTGAAACGAGGCTAAATCGCGATCGACTGGAGAGAGTTCTTGAAACTAGATCCAGTCATAAGAGAGATCCCACAATTCCACGCGCGCGAGAAAATACAAGATGGCTGCGGAACACGTGTCGGGCTATCGACAGAGAAATAAAAAAGACATCTGGAGAGACGATGACATCTGTCTATTATTAAATATATGGCAAGAAAAAGTATTTATTTCTAACCAAAACTTCCATTTTGTTTGTTGGTGTTCGTGACGTATCGCGTAGTTATGTCAGTTTTATCATCGCGTGTAATAGCCGGGTTCTTCTCAAGCGAGTTACCTGTGCGAACAGCACGACGTTCGATTGGCCACAGTCACAATCCAGATTGTAGGTAAATCGAGATCGAAGTGAGTCGTGGATTGTGTGCGAACGGGGTATTACACCATTGATTCTGGGACACTTTGTCTTTTTGTATTGACGCAATACTGTACTCCATAATCTAATTGTGAGAAAAAATTCAAAAAATGAAATATGTGGCTCTAGTTCGTCCAAAGCTGTCGCCACTAAATAAATAAATTATTTATGTCATTATTTGTCTCTAAGTTGTTTCCCCAGGAAAATTTTCTGCAGACACCATTGGACAAAAACATTCTATTATGCATGAAGCCCTCAGAGACATAGTGTTAGCACTTTACGTCATCGAGGGCTTCATATATAAACTGATGAAGGACTGTCTACTCCAACAGACTTAAGCAATTTCGACAGAACACAACAGTTGAAACAGTAGCTTAATTGTTCTGACAGAACTATCCGCACTCGGATCAGTTCCAGCAATTCCAGACTAGGAATTACAATGACAATTTTCCTACTTAATAGAGAGGTTGCGGCCGACGTTTTCATCGCGAAAACGTGTACGTCGAACGTTCAGCGCCGCTTTCCTGTAAGCCTAGAAGTTTGACAATGGTGTTTGGAATGTTGGGCATGATTCCACTGACTATCCAAACACCATTGTCAAACTTATAGGCGTACAGGAAAGCAGCGCTGAACGTTCGACGTACACGTTTTCGCGATGAAAACGTCGGCCGCAACCTCTTTAATGATGAATACGTTTCAGTTTCATACATCGTTTTACAGATCCTGAACATTCATTACATCAAAAGAGAATCAAAAACTAGAGAATTCTGAATTCAGAGCTACAATTTCACCCAAGTAACAGATGTAATAATTTTATTTTAAAAAACATATTTTTTAATGCATTTTATATACGCGTAATATTTCATACTACGAATTATAAATTACTTTCTAATTAATACAATTTGCTAGAATTCTATTATACATTTGTATTTATGTAACAAAATTTTATTTTTGTATGATTGAAGGTTTAGTTTTATTCCTATACGGCAACGCGACATGGGCGATCTGCCGAGGGGATGCCTTCCGGGAGATCTTTTATGGGAAACTGATCTTTATTTAGGTGTTACTAATGTAAAGAAAACCCGGAAAACACGTGGCCAGACCGTCGGCGAGGCGCGGATTCATGAATAACCACCAGTGTTCATTTTTATTCACTTGATCACTGCCGATTGAAGGTATATTCACAAGTGGCCCCTCACTTCTGGTCAGTTCATTGTAAGTGTAACTGAACTTATAATAATTCTATAAGGCGACTGCCGGAGCTGCCAAGATGGCAACCTATAGCTATGATGATCGAATCCAGACGGGTTGAAAAATCCCCAGGAATTTTTCGGGTGTGTCCGTCCTGATATGTCGGACTCCGTTCTTCACCACCTGGTCGCCCCGTTGTCGGCCTGGCCGAACCCATAATGGGCCTGTTAAAAGAGGCCCTTTTAGTGCCCATTGGGCGAAAAGAGTTTAAAAAAAAATACCGGTAATAATAACAAAAATATATTAATATTGTATATCGTATAATTAATTAAACAACATATTTTCAAATACGATTAAAACATTTTTCACCAAAACTTAATTTAAAATTAATGTTTGAAATGGAAAACTATTATTATCAAAAATACTGTATTTATTTTACTAAATGATTTTTCACATATTTTCGAAAAAGAAAAAAAAAATTTCTTTCCGGGATTCTTGACAACTGGCAACAATGCAGCAGCATAGAATAAAAATGGAGTCTGTTTTACGAATGTAGACACGTGCTTTTATTTTTACGTGGGAGAAGACACAGCAGAAACAATAATTAAAGAAAGGCGAAATGTACTCCTTGCCGACTTTTGCCACCGAATGTGGCGGAAATAGTTTAAAATCACTGCCATTACCTTCTGTTTTTACTAGTTATTCGAATAATGAGAATGGAGTTTATGACAGTTCCCCATTTTTCACTCTGGGAAGTGGATTTACTACTAATAATAATAATAGTAATAGTTTGTGTATTAAGAAAAGTTATCCTCAACCTAAATATAAACCGCGGAACAATTCTGGATATATACGATTTTACGGAAAAGGAAATGTAAGTTTGTAGTTTGTAACGAATTAACTAAAATAATTTATTAATTTACTTCATCTGTAGGGAACATACTGTTCGAATAACGGGGTTAGACTGAAGCAAAAGGTATCCAGCTAAAAAAAGGTCTTAAACTTAATATTAACGAATAAATATAGATATATCTAGATGTAATTTGACACGCTGAATCGATTGGCATTAAAAAAAATTACTTACGATCAACCGTTTAAAAGTTACGAACGATTTTTTATTTTCGGCTATTTGCATCGTTTAAGAACAACTTTATTAAGAAACACGCAAGCACTCGTCGATATTAACAAAACGAATTACTTTAATTCACCATAATACATTCCACCTACGAGAGAAAGCGACATTAAAAATGCTAAAATGGTGTCGTTAGCCAGCGAACACGCGTAACCACGACAAGAGTGTAGGGACAACTGACGCAGGGAAATTTTCCCTCGCCGGTGGGGAACATGTCGAGCGTGACGTCACTTCCACAATTCCCTACACACACGTGTGCAGTAACAGAAATAGTTGACACGATAATATAATTATTATATATTATTTAAAACAAAAGTAAAAATTTACTAACAAATTTAGTTTTCCCCATGTTACTTTGTTACAACATTAATGTCTTCCCCAGATATCTGCTGTTCTGTACTCTACCATCAGAACTGAAGTAAAAGGTATCCAGTTATAATTGCATTTTATATGCATTCTTTTCTCACTGTTTCACATGTAGGGATTTAAATAGTATACATCTAGTACACATTTGTCATTAAAGCCTTCCGTTGCCTCTTTTATATCACTTATACACCTATGAATGCTCTTACCCTAGATGCTGGCCTCTCTTATATGCAAGTTGAATTTTTATAGCAAATTATAATGGAAATGCAACTGGTACTTTTTTATAATTGTTACTTTTTATTTAGGTCTATCCATAATAAGAAAGTTGATAATCAAAATATACATGAAATGTACTGTACTGTACATTTTAATGGTGACCAACAAGTCGATCATAGAAAATAAGGTTCATCAAACATGCAAAAAACACTCTTAATTTTAATATAAATATTAAATGCATATTTTTCACAGAGAATTATTTGAACTATTAGCTATTACCTAAGGGTTGGAACCTCTGTATAAGATAAATATGGAAACTAATCCACACAAAGAACTGCTCTTTGTGTGGATGGTTGTTAGTAGATTATATTATTTTAGTATTATTTTTATTCGTGCGATGTCAAGAAGTGAAATTATTTTTATGATAAAAATATTTGTTTAATTTATGTTTTAGTGTATTTAACAAACAGGAACAATCTGAAACATTACTTACTTTGCAATAAATAAATACAATTATGTTTGGCAGCATAATTTTATTAAAGCAGATTATTAAGCGATTAGAGATGAACAGAGATGTGAAATAGATAATTACAGTTTTTAACAGACGACACTCAATCATACCCTACTATAAAGCTTGGTACTCGCATGCGGCAATGGACGATGGAAACTGTTGACGGAATGGCAGAATGACATCACTTTTGCTATCAAAGCGGATGGAATACGAAGTTGAAAATTTTCAACTTTTGCTGTCGTGGAAAGCAAAACGGCAAAAATTAGACTAATAGAAGGCCGTTTAGCAACGTCGTCATAAAGATTACGTGGGATGATAGCATTTGAACTATGGCGGTTGGCAAGCTAAAAAGCTTTATTTGTACACTAATACACTAATATATTTATACACTATATTACTATCCGATTTAAATATTAATGTCAAATAGACTTACTTACTGCATAAAGTATTGGGAATGGCGCAATTGTAATTCGGTGACGAAAGCATTTGATATTCCTAACTTTTAAAAAACTAACACACGTAAACTGGAACTATATACTACACACAACAAGTAACACCTCAATACTAGAGTACGGGACCATAAATATGATGTGTCGAGGCAGAGGTATAGTACGGCTCTAGCCCAGTATGCTACCGAACCCGGGGTTTCCCCATGTTGGGATGAGGCTACTCTTGTGCATAGGGCCTTTGACCGACATGACTTACGCTCGTTGGAGGCTATTGAGATTTATATAGAAACCATGAAGGGAAACTGCATCAACACCGATTATATTCCGATTCCACAATCGTGGAAATATTATTTACAGTGCCACAAAGCACAACAATAATCGGAAGTGTAATTATTTTTAATCGTTCTGCTTTGTATAAGAAAACAAAGCGTTTACATTGCGCTTATTTTCACAACTCTATAATAATAATTGATGTATAGCATTATTTTAAAACAAATTATTTACATCGCGCTAATTTTTCACAACTCTGCAATAATAATTTATGTATAGCGTTATTTTAATGTAATTACAGTAGAGCGTCAATTTTCCGAAAGTCAATCATCCGAAACGTCAATCATCCGAAAGAATTCCAGTCGACAAATTTAAATTTTCGCCAGTGCTGTGGCGCTTCAATCTTTGGCTATATCTTGGGCTACTCAAATATTTTACGTTTTTGATACTAAATTAACATCTGAAGTATAATTTTTTATTGTTTTTATATTTTTCAATATATTTATTTTGTTTGTACAAAATAATAAATAATTTTTAACGATACAATAGTCTTTGTTAGTCTTAACATCGACGAAAATTCAACGCAAAGCGACACGCAATGGAGAAAAATTTCAACATCAAATACGTTATGTACGAAAACTATTTTTTCATAAATAAATCAGTTATCCGAAATATCAGTTATATGAACAACCCCATTCCCCAATTGATTCGGAAAATCGACGCTCTACTGTATTTTTATCTTGTAAACGTAATGATTTTTTATATCGTACGCATCGTTTAATATTTAAAAGTTTGGAACACAGCTTTATTCGATGATTAGAATCCTTCAAAAGATAGAACTGTTTCTTTGTTTCATCCTGAGGAGGGCCTCTAAATGACGGCCGAAAACGTTAGATAATTAAAATCTTTTGAGTGCTGGAATTAGTATTGAGGTGTTACTTGTTGTGTATTCCTAACTTTTGATGATTTAGAATATTTTTCCTATCCAAATTATTCATTTTTAAGGTTTTTTATTTGCAACAAGATCAAAGGCAAACTTAAAGTTTAATTGATATAATGAAGCATTTCCAGTAGATGCCATTTTCAACTACTAGCAGGGAGAGTACCTACTGTAGTAGCTTGTTTATACTTATGGCTGGCAGATGGTGTGTTTCAATTGTAGGGTAATATACACGTGAGTACACACGACACAGAAAGACGACGGAACGGCAGCTGTTTCCGTTGTCCATTTCTGCATGTGAGTACCAGGCTTAAGTTGACCAGACCTGGTATATTGTACAGTTCACATATTTCATTTTCTATTAAGCTTTGTAAATAAATACTTTAAGTATGATTTCTACTGTAGTTTATGGTATTTATAAATTTTACATTGTTTGTCTATGTTTTCATCAACCCTCATGTAATTGAGGCGGCTACTATTTAAGAGCATTTATTATTTTGAGCTGTAATGGAGAGATGTGGTTAATATTGAGTATGCCTATTATTTATATAAAACCAGTATACAGTAGGGAAAGCTTGCTCCAGTTATATCCCATAAGAAAAATTAAGTATAAATTGTAAGATACATTAAATAAACAATAATTGTTTTTAGCTGGATACCTTTTGCTTCATTCTAACCAAGAATTTTCCTAAAGTCCTCAATGGAAATAGTTAATCAGTTAAGATGATTATGATGGCCGCCATAACTATAGCTGATAAGAATGGCATTTGCTAGTTTCATCATTTTTATTTCAGTCTCTGCTGCATTCTGTGTGGCTATGCATATTGCATTTCTTTGCTTGCAGTGTCATTTACCCCAAAGTAGACAATTTTGTAACTGAAATTTTTCTTTGAAAAATCCTTTTCCACATCCTTTGAATAGCATGTACACAAATTTGGGTGCCAATCAGTTTATTGGTTGGAACTACAGAGTCCTCTGAACAGGACAACTTTACCTATGATTATCCTATATATAACGATATTATTAAAAATTATCATCAGTTTCCATTGTTGTTTATTTTACTAAATTATCAATTCAGTAACTATAGAGATAGTTACTGAATTGATAATTTAGTAAAATAAACAACAATGGAAACTGATGATAATTTTTAATATGCATTTAAAGTTTAAATAAATGCAATAAATAAAAATACTGTGATAAAATGAATAAAAACAGACGACTTACGTGAACGATGCACTGAATGGGGTACACAACTTTTTGTTATTTTATTAAACATAGAGATATGTAACCTTACGCCCTTGACCATGGGACACTTTGTCTGTCTTTTTGTATTGTTATGATACTGTATTCTAGTATCTAAATGTGAATAAACCCAAACAGATTAAATAATTACATAAATATTTATTGATGTAATTGTTTGTCTCCAAGCTTCCCTTCTGGAAAATTTTCTGTGGATGCCCATGGTAGAAATGTGATTGATAAATATTTTTTTGTTTTTGTTTTTTTGGAAATGATGTTTATTTGTTTAGATTATGATGTTTGATAATTTAGATTATAAAAAGCTAAATAATTTCTTAATCAAGATGCTTTTGACAGTGAATAATTTGGTTTTGTTTAATAAAATTATTGGTGGAGGCCAGCCACCCTGAAACTTACATATATATATAAAGTTCAAAATTGACAATTTTCAAAAAAAAAAAAAAAAGGAAAAATGCTTATACAATGGAACCTGGTTAACTCGAATCAGTTGGAAAAAAATTTGGACTTCAAGTTAAAAAGTTTTGAGGAATTCAAGTTAACCAGTTTAATTTAACATGGTGTTCTAGATGATTGGGGAAATAAAATGACTTTGAGTAAATGCAACTTAGAATTATCCAGGTTCAATTTAACCAGGTTCCATTGTACTTTTTAATTTTTAATTACATAATTATAACTTAATTTCTAAACTTAGTTATTTCTTTTTACCTCTATGCCCTTATGTTTTACTTTTTTTGTTTTTATATTGTCTATAATAAGTCCTGTTTATAAACAAGGTCCAAGTTAACTTAATTATTCTATGCACAGAAAGCTAGAACTTCTGTAAATAAGTAATATAAAACCTTCAACACTTTTTTTAGCAATTTTCTTTAATCAAACTAACATTTAATCATTTTCGGGTATATTTAATCGCCTTCTTCAGCTTTGACAATATTTGGAACGTCAGATATTTGAAAATTTGTTTTTGTTCTGATGACATCATGGTTTTTACAAAAAAGTTTTTTCTTTTCTTTTAACAAATTTCTTTTAAATTACAATCATTAAATATACATGGAAATAGAAAAAACTTTAAACACAATTAATTAATAAATGTAAATGGATAACAAATTAGTTATATGTTAATTTATTTTTGTTCCTATGACGTCAATGTTTTTACAAAATTATTAAAACACAATTAATTAATAAATATGTAAATGGATAATGAATATAGAGAATGACTATTGCTGATAGGATTAAAATATTTATTTATAAATCCATAGGATTGTGATATAACCTGGGAAATGGTTGTATAGCTACAAAAGTATACCATAAGCCTAACCTACAATCTTTCTTTATTCCCTCAACATCCATATACTGTAGAACCTCCATTATCCGGATTGCTCAAAATAAACAAAAATTTTACGAATTTGCTGATTTGCACTTGGCGAATTATGACACTGTTTATGTACGTGATGGAATGCATAACTTTTTTTGTTTCAACAACGTCTTACCCGGCACAGTGGTCGTAAACTCTTAAATATATTTTACGTAGTAATAAAAATATAACTTGACATACATATTTATAAATAATTTATATTCAAATTACATCATTTCTATGATCAAGGGCGGCATAAGGCATGGACGATGTGGGCCACTGCCTATGCGTCACGGGCCTCGCGCTTTGAAGGTTTATGCATTACTTAAAAGCCGCGAACGCGACGAAAAAATTTCACTCGTCATAAAACGATAAATAGTTTGTCAAATTTTTATTCATAAAAATGCAGTTTCAACTGCTTTTTATTTTATAAAATCCGTCTTTTTGCGCCACCAGAGGGCCTTTTAAACAATAGGTAGTCTGTTAGCGTTAGTCAGTAGTAGTCCAAATTCAATACGAACGTTTCTTTCTTGAAAATTTGATTACGATTTAAATACTGTATTTACTTTTAATATTANTACATGGAAATAGAAAAAATTTTAAACACAATTAATTAATATATGTAAATAGATAACAAATTAGAGTTATACATTAATTTGTTTTTGTTCCTATGACGTCAATGTTTTTACAAAATTATTAAAGCACAATTAATTCATAAATATGTAAATGGATAACGAATTACAGAGAATTACAGACTATTGCCGATAGGATTAAAATATTTATAAATTCATAGGATTGCGATATAACCTGGGAAATGGTTGTACAGCTATAAAAGTATATCATAAGCCTAACCTACAATCTTTCTTTATCCCCTCAACATCCAACAACTTGTATATTTATAAAATAGCAGCGTACAGGGCTCTGATCTGAATAACTTTTACCCATTCCTCTAACATCAAGGACACATTACAAGAAATACAACGCATAAAACACATTGCCATAGCCCACGGTTACAGCAGTAAGTTAATAGAAAGGTTAGCTAGCAAAATACAAGGCAACAGAAACCATAAATTCCAGATCTCTAGAACAGCAAAGAAAATGCATAGTAGTTGATTTTGACCCTAGAATGAGCCAAACCTATAAAATCATAGCCAAGAAGGTCAAAGCAAATTTATCCTACAAACATAACCCTTCAATATATAAACTTCTTGCCAATACAAAAGATAAATGCAGTGAAGTCAGAAAACCTGGAATATACTCGGTACCGCTGGACGACAACAGATATAAGAGGAGCAAAAAGTTAACATACAGAAGCTCAACCAACAGATCATTAGCAAAAAGGATAGCGGAGCAAAAGTATGATATGCAGAATAAGAAGTTTAGCACCACCCTAGCCCAATATGCAAGTGAGCCAGGTATAACAGCTAAATGGGAAGAAGCTAAGATTATAATACCAATACTCAATAACAGCAAGCTAAGAACAATAGAAACACTGGAAATCTTTGCAAAATCCCTCAAAGAAAATTGCATTAACAGCAGAGTTAAAGACTTGCTATCTATGGCCTGGCAATCACTCATTAAAAACCCCCTAAAGGAAGTGGGCTAACCCATCTATCTCACGTGATATATGACATCGCAATCCTACAAATTTATAAATATTTTAATCCTATTAGCAATAGTCATTCTCTGTAATTCGTTATCCATTTACATATTTATTAATTAATTGTGTTTTAATAATTTTGTAAAAACATTGACGCCATAGGAACAAAAACAAATTAGTGTATAACTCTGATTTGTTATCTATTTACATATATTAATTAATTGTGTTTAAAGTTTTTTCTATTTCCATGTATATTTAATGATTGTAATTTAAAAGAAATTTGTTAAAAGAAAAGAAAAAACTTTTTTGTAAAAACCATGATGTCATCATAACGAAAACAAATTTTCAAATGTCTGACATTCTAAATATTCTCTCAGCGAGTAATAAGGTGTTAGTTACGTATTTATTTTCTGCTGGGTACGATTGTGGCTTATGTTCCAAATATTGTTGAACCCGAGGAAGGCCATTAAATATAGCTGAAAACGTTAGTTTAATTAAAGAAAATTGCTAGAAAAAAGTGTTGAAGGTTTTATATTACTTATTAACTTAATTACATTAATAATTATTTATTTGATTTTCATGAAACTTCAAATTACTAAAACATTTATCTGTGAATGTTTGTTTCAAAATTTCAGTCCTCTCATGACAGAAACATTGAATATTTTTGTTACAGAACATTGGAAGTAAACAGTTTTGTTGTGATCCTTGTGGGAGAGCATATTCAGAACAATGGCAATTAAATCAACATTTAGCAAAACATGTGAAGGTAAGTTGTAAATAATATGCATTAAAACAGATATCAGTTTAAAATAATCAGAAATATTTTTTGATTGATTCTTTTATATATTAATTATGAAAGCATTTAAATAATAAAGAGTTGATGTATTAGATTGCATTTTATATTTTAAGATAAATTTGTTCCAAATATTTTTCATTATTTAATTGTTTTTAGTGTGATTTTGATGGTTGTTTCTTTCAAGCTCATTCAAAGTTGGTAGAATTACATAAAAAATTGGTAAGAATGTTTTAAGGGTTAAATTACAATTTTTATTTCATAAATTTCAATTTTACTATTTTTTTATTGTAGCAACATTATACTGGACTTGCACATTATTTTATGAAATTAGATACTCCTGAAGATATTAAAAGATGGAGGGAAACAAGAAGAAAGTATGTTTTGAATATTTAATGAAATTCATTTTATATTAAATTCTTGTTTTATGAATAATTAATTTTAATGAATTTCCTGAATTGAAACATTTGAAAAAATAATTATTCTATTTTTGTGAGTATANAGAAGAAATAAAACTCATATTTAATCACTGAGCCTTCTACTGCCCCCTGAAAGCCTCCAGTGCCCAAAAGGGGGCATTATTGCCCACTTTGAGAAAGGATGATCTAAACTGATAACACTGTAAAGTGAGACTACAATTAGAGGAAAATATCTAATTTCATTAACTCTAACTTTAAAAGGATGTGTTAAAACAATTTAAAAGTGTAATTATGTCTGTAAAGACATAATTACACTTTTAAATTGTAAATTGATAAATAAATAATTTGGTATTGTTTGTCTGCTACCAACTTCAACAATGGATAGTATAACACCAGCAATTTAAACTATTGTATTGTGAACAAATAATGATTAAACTGATATATTTAAAGTACTGGTTAAGTCTAGTAATGATAACCTAAAACAATTTCATATTATTAACTGCACATTGAATATGCTAGCATGAAAAGAAAATATAAAAA